AAAATTTTTCAGATTTTTATATAATCTTCATGACAAGATTTGACATATCACGAACTTGTTATGGATAAACTGCATATTTTTTCAAAATTCAGTTAGTTGCAATGAATAGAGTACTGTGGAACCTCGAGATGCTAGTTTAATTGGTTCCTGCACTGAGCTCGTATAGCGAATTTCTCGTGTCTAGAAACAAACTTCCTCATCGAAAATCCAAGCACCGTCCAAAACTCCTAGAAGATGTTGAGAAGTTTTTTTTTTTTTTTTTTTTTTTTTTTTTTTTTCTGTGGATTAAGGAGAAACACCTCCAAAAATCTAATTGCCATCTCATCTTTAGTCGATGTACCTGGTGTTATTTGGAGGAGGTTCAAGTACAGATTCTTAGCCTTGGTGCAAATGATAGCTTCGGATACCGAATTGCCTTTTAACTGTTTCTCCTTAATCCACAGCAAAAAAAAAAAAAAAAAAAAAAAAAAACTTCTCAACATCTTCTAGAAGTTTTGGATGGCGCTTGGATATAGCGATAACTTTGGCCTCATCAAGTTTCTTAATTTCTTCTTTTTTCTTCAGATTAGTGCAAATCGTTGATGTCGAACGGCCGTAAGTCTTTCCCAATTCCGTCACTCTTACACCACACTTATGTTTATCTATGATTTCTTTCTTAATTTAAACGGCCATGGCTTCCACCCCCCCTTTTTTTTTTTTTTTTTTTTTTTTTTTTTTTTTTTTTTTTTTTTTTTGCAGCGCTATCTTAGGCAGCAATTTTCTTGGGAGTCATCGTGAAATAATTATTTTCACGTTAAATGTGAAAAAAAAAATTACTCACAAGCACATAAAAACGTAGATAAAAAAACACAGTTATCTGACGAGGAGATTTCTCGAGTCGAGCCGGATCGGGAAACACGACACGCATACTCACAGCCAGGCTTCTTGCTTCGAGTCAATGCTCGTATTTAGAGACGAATTTTACGCTCATACTTTCCTCGTATCTCGAATTTCTCGTATATAGTGGTGCTGATATCTCGAGGTTCCACTATACTCCGAATTCAAAGATATGTGTAAAAATCCACTAGTTTATGATTAGAAGACAATCAGAAGTACAATTAGAAGTTATAAAAACAATGGATAATGAAGTAATTTGTTCCTCTCAACTGAAATTTTCTGTAATTATTATGAATTTTGTATCTGAATAATAGCTATATGTTATTTGTTAACAGTGAAGAAAATTTCTTTAATACTAGTAAGCCCTCTATTCTCTAACGAATCGAAGAATGCTTTAAATTAAAATATCCAATCAATATACCTCTGTCCTGTCTAATGTTCAGTCCTTTTTTTTCAATCCCCAATGATCTGTCTTGAATATTTTTTGATGTGTTAATACTGATGTTAACTTGTCGAAAGTGTAGAGATAGCAAAATTTTTTGACTGCTCAGCGATCTGTGTCAGATTATTTTCGATAACTCTCATTTTCGAAACTATTACTTAAACATTAAATTTACAGTAAAGATAGATCCACTGACTGCCTCAACGCCTCACACTCTTTTTTCCTCTTCGCCCATCTTTTCGACATTTTCTTTTCGTTCCCTTTCTGAATCATATTAACCAAGATGCTGATGTCACTGCTAAAGCTGGAAATAATAAATAAAGCACCAATAAATAATAACTAAACAATGACTAAAAGTTGGGCAACTCATGCTTTAAAGCTCATTTATCTCACAATATCTTACAGTAAGCTTTCTGAGATTATAAATCATAAAGTTAGATCGTAATATTAAACCTTACAACACCCTATTGATTGTATAATTGGAATCTAAAAATTTAGAATTTTAAATGAAATGTCTCATATTACTTGTTTTCCAATAAAAGTTTTAGAACTTCGGATTTTATTTTAAATTCCATTACAATTCGGTGCCATCCACATCAAAACATATAATAACTAAACATTTTGATATTTTGCGGTATTTTCAAATATTCAGTTAGTATTTTTGCGTGTTAATAGTTCATATAAAGCGTTGTGAATAGACATGTCAGAAAAAATCTCATAGGTTTCAGATTTCAAATTACGTTCAAAGGGGCGTTTTTTAACGTTTTGTGTGTTACCTTTATTTATTAAATATCATGTTCTTTGCACTTAAACAGTAAAATTCAGTTCAATAGCAATGTCATAAAATAATTTTAAAATGAGCATATGTTTAGAATTTCCGATACACAGTTCCGCGCGCTGGAGATAAAAAGGTTCTTTTTTTCCCGTAAAGTGTTGCCATTGCTCGCTTTTAAATCATTGAGTTTGTTACTCAAAAATTCGTTAAAGTTTTACAAAATATGAAATCGATTATAATACAAACTCCAAATTTCAAATTTGGTCTTCCACATGCCTATATTCGTAGGAGCATTACGTCATTCAAAATTCGATGGCTCTATGTATCGTTGTTTTATCACAATGCGAGAAATATTAAATTTATGCAGATTTTTCATTATTTAATTTCTTCAAATATAATGCAGGACTCTAACATTTGGTGACAACAGTTTGGAAAGCGATTCGCCGTTTATAGTGATTCAACGAAAAATCGCAAAACGAAAACAATAGTCCTTCAGGGACAAAGCCACTTTGGACTAAAAATCAAAGGATTAGCGAAAGATATGGAAACTTTTTTGCAACTCTAGGCAGTAACAATTTTTACAGGTGAAGCTATCCGAGCAAATCCTATATTTTCATCATCTGAATACTTTCATCAATTTATATCCCAAGCATAAATTATGTGGCGAATATAAAAAAGACATGGCAACAGTTTGTAGGGTTATTACTGATTTAATTAACTAGTTATTATGATTTTGATCTTTACTATAACTTCTCATTTCCCTTTCTTCACCAGAAATGTAAATGAGTTAAAGAATATTTAAATCAAGGCTTTCAGATTGTAAGACAGAGATTCTTTCTGCCTTTCGAGGCCACATTACTATGTTTAGCCAGCTATGATAAGATTATATTTCTTCGGCGTTATTGCTGACGACATTTAATTGTTATGCCAGTGAGAATTTTTGAGCCAACTTAGAGTTGAAATAAATTGTGTACTTCTTGGCTCCTAGATTAAGTTTTAAATTTTGAATATGACTGTTACTTTAAGTTACATCGCCACAAGCGGTGATTGTTTTGTTAATCACGAGATGTGTGTTTAATTAAAGTTTCAAATTCAACAAAAGAATTAAGTGAATCAGCCTGTTTCTGAACTGATAATAACAAAAATTTATAAATTAGAGCTTAATACGTCAATTAACCATAGAAAATTAATGGTAAAAGTTTTGTGTCTTTATCAGTCTAACCCTTACACGCTGGAGTGGGTAATGTAACACTGCACAATTTTTCGAAAAAAAAAAAATTGTAAAGAAACAACATCAGAAGCATTAAGTTGTTTAAAAACTAAATAAAAAAACTGCAAAATGGCGAGCAGACTGAGTCTAAGTAAAAAATCCATCTACGCGCAAACAAAACGACATATGAAAAATATGGCTCTACAAGCATAAGATACAAATAACGTAAAAAAAAAGGGGGGAGAATCACTTCCAGAAACCGTAAGAGTAAAGCAATATTTGTTTGAAAATGAAAATTCTGAAAAATACTAAATGGAATTCTAAATAATATAGAGTAAATGGGAAACAACTAATATAATAATTAGCAGAAATAAGAATAAACCTTGCATCCTGAAGGATTGGGAAAAGTTAACCCTAAAACTTAATTTGATATAAAATCAAAATCAAACTGAACTATTTAATTTTAAGTTTAATATACAGGTTAAAAAATTTTCTAATGTAACATTAACATGGTGCAATACAAAACTGAATATATTATTGTAAAAGGAAAAATCAGCGATTCACCTGGATTATACATCCGTGAAGCTGAACTTTGCTTACCACATGCATTCCACCAATAGGAGCTGACTCGGCAGCTCACTGTAGCTCATCATAGGAAAATGTTTTATTGCTTAGTGTCAAAATTAATTTCGAAGATATTTTAAAAATCGTTGTGTTTTAGAGACAAAATTATAACACATAGTATAAAACCTTCTGGTATGTAAAATGTAATAAATAAGGTATTTGATGAAAATTCAATTGTGTGTAGTAAAAGTGAGTGATTTTTTTTCCTAAGTGAGTTAATCATTGAGAATGCAAATGAGAAAGTCAGCCTAATGTCAGAAATTATATAATAGAGTTCATTTCTGGCCTTTTACAAAAGAGTAAAAAATGAAAAAGAGTTGTTATTGATAACACACTCAAGTGGTCTTCCTTGAGGCATAGAAGCTGAAATACGCCCAGTTTGTTAATAAAAGAAAGATATCATTCAACATTGTAATCAAAATTAAAACTGATGTAAGAATTTTGACAAGAATGTCTAATTCAAATATGTTAAAAAAATCTGGACTGTATCGCCATAAATGTTTAGGTCTCTTCCATCATGATAATCAAAGTTTAGTGCCAAAAGTAACTTTTTGGACTGGCAGCTGTAATTTAACGAGTTTAGTTTTTAATACATTTATCTGAAATTATGTTTTATTTTAGTATTAAATACCTTCGACACATTTGTATATAATATGTAATATTTTTATTTAAGAATAAAAACTTTTTTTTTTTCATTTAAACAATTTCTCAACCCTCCAAGTGTTACGGGTTTAGCTCTCAAGTTTCAAAATTCCTCTAAATGTCATGAATAAATTATATTTTCTTGATTATAATTAATTAATGACTCTCTCATTTTGTATCTTGATTCTTTCCTTCCAATATACAACCAACCTGAAATCGGATACATTAATTGCTGGCAGATATTTTCACATGTAATGCACATGAAAGCCAGCCTTCTAGACGGAATTTTCCGTCCGTAGTTAAATCCTTTTTTGAGGTGTTAGTTTTTCTCTTTTTAAATCACCAGGATATTACGCTTCTGTAATATCTATCAACTTATTGATTTGCTACTTTTTCCAGTCTTTTCTAATGAACGAAATTTTTGTTTCCAGGTCTGACTGTTGGAAAAGATAAAGCAGGAGCTTATATGACGCTTCCGTCACCTAATGTGCAAACAGTGGACGTAAGTCAATTGCATTTGTTTATGTACCTTTATATTCTACTGTATTTATGACTATCGTATTCGAAATAATTAGTGTAGCAGGGAAATTAACGTGAACGATAACAAAATTGAAAAATTTTTTGGATATAAACTATATGTTACGCTGTTGATAAAGCCATCAGTTTTTAATATCCTCATGTAAAACCGCGTAATAATTATAGCCGCTAAATATATTACATATTAAGTAGCCCATAAAAAATATCGTAATTAGAAGATTAACATTTTTCGCTGCACTCAGAGAAAATTTATGCTTAGATTTGTGATGAGCACCAGAGATGGAATAGAGCAAAGTAGCTCATAAAACTCAAATTTACTTCAAAAGACTAGCATGTATTGTATGCTTGTAAACCTTACATTTTTACTGCCTTGTACGAAGTAAAAGAAATATTGTAATCGCAAAGATTTTCGGGTATCATATTTCAATGAAAATATCCATTTTGACCGCTATCGAACGCAGTTTAACGATGTTTTTGCGTGACATCTGTACGTAAGAATAGAATAAAAGACTCTTTTCCGCCAAAAAAATTATGAAAACGAGTAGCTTCAGAACGTTGAAATTTTGTATATAGGTCTGCTATAATATGTAGTTGTGCACCTCCCTTTTTTAGATGCAACTTTCTGCACCAAAAGTATATAAATATATATTCGTGAGCTCAGTTTTTTTATTCTTATATGTTGGTAAATAATAATTTTTAAATGATTGAAAAATAGAACCCCTTTGATTGAGGTAATTACAAACAATGTGGCCTTGAGCTCAATTCGTTTTGGAAATGAATATGTTGCGTAATAGTAAATAAAGGTTATTAATGCAGTTGTCAAAAGTATTTTTCCCGCGAAGCAAATTATTAGGAAGAAAAATGTGAGTAGATAGAGAAGTAATTTTTTTTTCTTTCCCACTAATGCAACTCATGAGAAACGTTTTTTTTTTTTTTTTTCTGCTAAGTTTTTTTTCGTATCTTTATTAAAAATGTGTCATGTGATCTAAATTAAGGTTATTTGAAGGCAATTCATTTTTTTTTCCTTTCCTTACTAATACAATAATGAGAAACGTCTGTTTTTTCTTTTCCCCCCCCTTCCTTTTCTTTTTTTTCTTTCTCTTTTCTAGCTAAGATTTTCCCGTATTTTTAAGAGAGTGTCACGTGATCAAAATTAAGGTGAATCAAAGGCTGCTTTATTTGAGTCATTTCTTAATGACGCTTATAATCATTTAATTGTAGAATTGTATTTTTGTCATTCAGCTGTGTTATTTAATTGTGGAATGTTTTTAATCACACTGTGTGAAGGGTTTCTCAAACCTTACTACCCCGTGCATCCCTTTCACTAGTTACAGAAGATCATTCCCCTCCTCCTTTCCAAAACTCGTAAAATGTACCTAGAGTTAGATGAATAAGATGATTTAGATGAATAAATATGTACCTAGATTTAGATTATTTTCAGCTTGTTTTATAAATTAACCAACGCAAAGTGTAGTAAATGTTGATAAATAAGCAAACTTGGATAAAATTAGTAAAAGTAGTTTTTATATTCATAAACTAAAACTGAACACTTTGTAGTGTTCATCCCTTTCATCAAATGCTAAAGGTGGAGGAACCTAGTGAATAGCTAAGCGAATTATCGCTTAAGCTCAGTAACAGAAACGTAAAATTTACGAAGGTTTCAATTACCCTTTATTGCTCAAAATAAGGATTAACAGATGGTTCTTTCCGAGGCCGTACAACAAAGCCTCCACTTGGGCTTTTTTCTTTAAACTCAAACTTTGAAGAAATAAGAACTTAACTACTGATTAACTAAAACGATTTAGCCGAAGCCAACACAATTCTAAGTAGCTGGCCGCTAAATATCGAATTAGCTAGCGAAGCTATCAAGGGCCCGTAATAGGCCGAGCGTAGAGAGATGTTTAGAAAGATGTGGTTAAAAAACAAACGCGCGCTAGTCAGAAACTCTGCTTGTCTCTCTCGAAGTCAGGGAAACTTCGACTTAAATACTACTCATTTGCATTAAACGCGATTTTAAAAACACATTCTGGTAAGGAATTTGTATGTTAAAATTAGGAGAGCTAGGAAAGGAGCTTTAACTTAAAAATAACTGTTATAAACTTAAGATAAACTTTACAACTTTGCAGATGAATAAAACGCTGACCGCATTCTGCCCTGAAACTATGAAATTCCCAAAAAGAGAATCCCCCTTTGTTGAGAATTCTTGCCCTATGTCTGTTTTATGCAAACAAATTAATTGAAAGTTCAGTTTCATTAACAGGATGAAAAGTCAATTCCAAAGCCAACTTTAATTTCACAAGAAATTCACACAGAGCGCCAGCGACAATCCAAACTCAAAGATCACATTTGCCGCTAGATAGCAATGCATTACCTATTATTTTCCTTTCCCCCAAACTGTTTCGATGAGGGTAAAAAATTTTGAGTCCAAAACTGAAGAATTTGAAACGGAATATGATGCATTAATGTGGAATGTATGCGGATCTTCTTTAAAAGTCAATGTTTGTTTATATCAATGTTTGGATCGCACAAATGTCTTAAGTTGGGGTGAAGATTTTGAAGAAGATGAGTGTTAACAAGTAGTATCCTTTCGTTAACATTCCAGATAATGCAATTAATTATAGAACTAATTTTCTGTTGCTTGTACATAAGCAATTACATAAACGATTAAAAATGCAGTAAACGGGACAAAGTAAGAATACAGTTTCATGAACATTGTAAATCTTATTGTCTCTTTGTAGTACAAACTGTTTTAAAAACAAAGTGTACCAACAAAGTGTTTGGAGAATAAACAAAGTGTTGGGAGAGTTTGTTTTTGTTTGGTTTATTTAATTATGGCAAAGCCCACAAGGGCTATCTGCCTAAGGGGAGGAATGCCTTCGCGGAGGATTTTCTAAGGGAAACTGGCTCGTATACACGTTACACATTAAGAAAACCAGGGAAACGCCCTTGCAGCCAGCCCGTTCGCGGAATTCGAACCTCAAGTGTTGGGAGAGAGAAAGATAGGAAGAATGTACATAAAACCAGCAAATGAAATTTTATTAATTTTATTTGGTTAATTGATATCTATTAATTTATTTTATCTTTGTTCAATATTTCAGTCATTTACTGCTGCATGTTTCTTCATTTATTTTTGTTTAAGCTAAAATTTTATGCATCCTCACCTAATTCTCTGAAATATAACTGCCAATTATCTACTTTCATTTTTAATATTCTTCATAAAATTTGTGTTCTTTCTTCTAAGCTGGATATTTTCTGTTGCCTTAGTAACCTAAAGCTTATTTAAGTCTTTAAATTTTATTTTGTTTTAAACTCGACGTTTCGTTTTTAACAGCTGTCAGAGCATGTGGGTGTTTTTTAGTCGTCACTTCGCTTTTATAAAACTGATTTAATACTCGTTGCTTGTATATCAAATTTTAATTCATTTGAAGCATGGATTACTTTAATTTCTATTTAAATTTCATAGAAGTTAAATAATAAATAAATAAAAATTGTATTACACGTAGGAGGAGTATATCACAAGATTCCAGGAGGAGATTATAACCATTTATTTGACTGTGAAAACAGCTCTATTTATTGATGAATTACTGCTTTGAAATATTTATTTGATATATAGCGTCCTGCCTCTAACTTAGTTGCATGCTCTTGCAATTTTTATGCAGCTCATAAATTAATACAATTTTAAAGCTGACGAAGATGAATCTGTTACCGAAAACTTCCTTATAGTAAAGTAAAAGAAAATTTTGTTGGAAGAGCTTGTACCCTAATTAGCTACTATGTTTAAAAATACTTTGCTTTCACATCACATTCACTCGTATTTTGAAAGAAGATTTTATAGGTAGCTCCGCAATTATTTTAATTCTTGAAAGTTATTATTCGTTACTACGGTTGAAGAATAAGTAACACTTATATACTTCGCACTTATTTGAGTTAATTTATAATATGAATTGTTTCATTCATAAAGTGAGAAGTTTATAATGTTGTAAAATCATTATATTTTTTGAAGCAAGGAACACAGAAAATGGATAATTCCCTCGTCGTGATTCGAACTCCTGATCTTCCAATTGCTAACCTTGCATATAGACCACGTAGGTACACGCTAAAAATGCAGAAGATGTCTTACAGTGTGCAAAACTTATGAAAATTAGAGTGACCTTTCCTGGATCCAGTGTGCTTAACCTTAAGCTGTTGTATATACAGAAAATAAAACTGTAATGCTCTAACTAAATGTTTCAGTATTTTGGTCTTAGAAAATAAGGAGGAGATTGACTTGGAGTTTATTGGATGTTGCCCATTATTTCCTAATATTTAAGGGAAAATATAATTGTCGTTGCCTCAGAAGATAGGAAAACTTTCTAGAGGCTGTAGAGTCAACCCGTTCACACACAAAAGGAATTTGTTATAATGAATAATCGCTATTTTGGGGAATTAAAGTAACTTTCCAGACATTTCTCTGAAAGAATGTAAATTATATCAAATTTTAAATTAACGGTATTTGAGAACCTCTGAAGAAGAAACATAAGATAAGTTAATGATTTTAGAGAAAGCAAGCTTTAACTAAACACTTTGATACCCTAGAAAGGATCAACTGAAAAGCTAGCAAATATTGTTGAGAAACCATATCATGTGTTTCGTTTTATTAACCTCTTCTCCGTTTCTCTCGAGGCAGAGTCGTCGATTTGAAAATTGTCGTCAACAGATTTTAATAGGAATCATTTTGTAAATGCTGCGAGGGTTATATGATAACACATCAATATTGAGCACAATAAAAGAGAGTTACGTAATGTATTGAGCCAATATGCTTATAATACCTGCGAAAGGCTGTTCAAATTGTCGATATGGAAAGGTTCCTTTGCAGAAATGATATACTAATAAATGACTAATAAATAATATACTAATAAATGACAGTTAAGTGCTGTTTTTGACCCATGTCAACAACGAAGGTTGACGGTGATTGGTTGATTTTAT